TGTCTATTCTTTAATTTCGAGTCCGTGCTAATTTTAATCTCTTAAGCAATGTGAGTTTTGCTTCAAACTACACGTACAAAATAGGTCCCTCGAATTGAGCCTGAAGAGTCCTTTCAGAGACTTTAGCTGATTCCTTTTGGAGATTTTCGGAGAAAGTGTGGTTCCTTCATCGCAATAATTCCAACAAAGTTGAGATTTTTCAAACATTTTGTTCTCGAACGTGTGACTTTTACGCTTTTTTTCGATGATATCAACCTGAGTTTCCTGGCATTTTCTAGGGACCGAAATTGCAAAACACGTCGTGCGTGTGTGAACACACGAACACATAGTCTATTTGACGTGGAATTTGGCCGTGCGCAAACCAATTCATAACAAGCGAATTGACTAGACAAAACATACTTCCATGCTTTCTTTGCTTTTCCCTTTTTTCTCTTTCCCCATTTTTCCAATTTTCCCTTGACAATATTCTCTCCTCTCTCAAAATAGACATGACGGCTCCACCACACGCCAGCCCGGCATCGCAGCAGCTCGCGGCTGGTCGCCACCGCCTCGTTCTCGCCCCATCGTCACAAGCCCAGAATTGAGCCGTCAGATGCCATTCCGAGCCCCACCATCGCAGTTTGTGAGTCGTGAGTTGGATCTGATGTTGCCATCCGGTGTCGTTGGCTTCGAGCGACTTAGATATGGCCCGTGAATAGACAGTCATAACGAGCGAGGTTGCCTCAAGGAGAGAGTGCGCGACAGAGATGGTGGCTTAGCCGACAGGGACGTGAAACGATCTGCGCAGGCAATGGCTTGGGGTCGACGACGACGGGTGATGGCACAGGGGAGGGGAGACGACACCGACGGTGATGCAGTGTCGAGGTGGCAGAGGCTTGCGGTGGCTGAAGGTGGAGGGGAGAGGATGAGGAAACCGTTGGAATATTTTGGGGTCTGGATTTTTTTATGTAAATTTGTCAAAAAGTGAGGGCAGTTGCGTCATTTAGGAGGTAACTACTCTATGTAGGGAAAATTGTCCAAAAAGTTCTAAAATTATTGCACTTTTGCCCATTCAGTCCTAAACATTTCAATTTTATCAATTAAGGGGAGAAGAACAGCAGAAGTGCCAAAAGTTGTATACGGAGCTCACTTTGGTGCCAAAAGTTCCATTTGGATCACTTAAATGCCAAATCGGAGGAAAAATGATCACTTTGGTGCAAACGGCGAGAGATTTCGGCCAAATTAATACGTGGCATTTATAATTAAATTTTTAATCTCAATTGGATTTTTTTTTAAAACAAATTAGTCTACATGGCATTTCCACGTATATATTTCGATTTTTTAAATACTTTTCTGAATTTTTTTCTTCTTTTCTTTTTTTCTTTTCTTTCTTCTCCCTTTGGTCACCGCCAGTGACCGGAGGCCGGCCACCTGGCCTAGCCCAAACGAGGCCGCCGCCGCCCACCACAGGCGAGGCCCGGCCGACCCTCGCCTGGGCGACGGCGGGCAAGCCCCGGCAAGGTCGGTCTCGCCTCGCATGGGCGAGGGCGACCTCGCCGGGCTTGCCCGCCGTCGCCCGTGCGAGGGTCGGCCGGGCCTCGCATGTGGCGGGCGGCGGCGGCCTCGTCCGGGCGAGGCCCGCCGACCTCGCCGAGGTGATAGCGGGCAAGCCCCGGCGAGGTCACCTCGCCGCATGGGCGAGGGCGAGCCCCGGCGAGGGTTCCCCTCGCGTATCCGGCGAGGTCGGCCGTCGCCCAGCGAGGGTCGGCCGGCCTCGCCTCGTGGCGGCGGCGGCGGCCTCGTCCAGGCGGCCGGCGGCCGGCCTCCGGTCACCGGCGGTGACCAAAGGGAGAGGAAAGAAAAGAAGGAAATAAGAAAGAAAAGAAGAAAAAAGGAAAAAAGAAAAAAAATTATTTAAAATAAAAAATGCTGACTGTATCTCCGGCGAGCCACATCGGCTTCAGAAATTAATAAAAAAATGCTACGTCGGATTTCCAGCCAAACTGACCGGAGTTGCCACTTAAGTGATCGTTTTTCAAAAATTTTGGCACTTAAATAATCCAAATGAAACTTTTGGCACCAAAGTGAGCTCCGTACACAATTTTTGGCACTTCTGCTGTTCTTCCCCCATCAATTAAGTCATAAACATTTTCATGTTTTGCCAATTGAGTCCATTGGACCAATTTTAACATAAACTAACTTATGTGGACATCGGTAGTGCCACGTAGGACGGTCAGTACTAATGTTGATAATTTTTAATAATATTTTAATATATTTTTCGAAATTTTAAATTTTTTTCTTTTTTTTTTCTTCTAAGTCCAGAAAGGATTGCCAGCCAACCCTTGCCCAACTTGGCAAAAGTAAAATTGGTTTATGACTTTTTGGATAATTTTTCGGCACTACGTACACTTACTCCCTGAATGTAGAGGTAGGTAACTATTCTATTATACATTGTTTATTCTCTCTACATTGTTTTAGGGACGCGGTAGGATAAAATATTATTAGGTGTTTGATGTGCTTTGCGATAAGACAAGAGTAAAAATCAAATTAGTTATAATACAGACATGGCGATGCGTTCTATAGATTTACATAATAGTATATAAATTTCTTCTATAGACGTTTTTTTCCGGCCAAATTGTACGGATAGTTTTTTCACTCAATTTCAAAGCACATCGCTATATCATATCTTATAATAGAAGACGATAATTGGTCGCATTTCGTAGATCCCTGCAATTTAAAATTTCTTGGAGATATTTCGCTAAATTTGACGCAAAAATGTAAGAAATGAATAACTGGGGCAAATTGCAACATCTTCTTCCCTAACTATGTTTGGTAATTTAAGATGGGAGGAAAACAAATAGAGAAGGAAAATGTAATTTCACTCTCCCTTGTAGATGAACTTTAAGAGGAAATGATGTAGAGGAAAATTGGGTTAGTTGATTGTTCAAAATACCTAGGGCATCCAATTATGGTGAGATGACAAGATGTTTTCATGTGTACAGCATGCTTTCCAGTGATGCACGCGCCAGATCTCCAAACTATTCAGACTTTATAAAATAGATTGATCAGTTTAGTATAAAAATCGTCATCTACATTATGAACTTTACGGATTGTATTGATAAAAATTTAAGATTGAAGGACATTATGAGTTTGCTTTATAGCAAAGACATTGTGATGTGTTCTATAGATTGGAAACATTAGTATGTAAATTTCTTCTGTAGATGTTATTTTGGCCAAATTGTATTGAGAATTTTCTCGACCAATTTTGAAGCACATCGCCATACTAGTCTTTTGTGGAGATAATGCTTTTCTTCATCAAGTTTATGGCGAGTTTGGCCTCGCTTTATTGATCCCTGCACCTTAAAATTTCTTTGAGATATATCAGTATATAAAAAGCAATAAAATGTGAGAAACGAATAACTCGGGCAAATTTGCAACATCTTCTATGTTTGGTAATTAAGATTGGAAGGAGTTGAACATTAAAGGGGAATGATGTAGAACAAAATTGAGTAAGGGGATTGATCAAAATACATCTTGTCAAACCAAATTTGAGTACCTTCTTAGTTTACCCGACATTGATTAAATATTTGGGATAGTGACATAAATGATCCTTGAACTTTGGCACAATGTTCAATGTGATCCCTGAACTTTTAATTTGTTCAATATGGTCCATGAACTTTATCTCGATGTGCAATGTGGTTCCTTAACTTTCAATTTGTTCATTGTGGTCTCTAAATTTTGGTACATGTTCAACTTAGTCCCTGAACTATATGAAAATGATCAATGATGTCGTTTCATTAATTCAAGTTTAGGGACAACATTGAATATTTTCATATAGTTTATGGACTAAATTGACCAAAAGTCTATGGACCACATTGAACAAATTGAAAGTTCATGGACTACATTACATTGGATTACAATTCGAGAACCATATTGAACAAATTAAAAGTTCAGAGACCGCATTACACATTGAGCCATAGTTTAGGGACCATTTATATCAATTCCCCTAAATGTTTTTATGAATTAAAGGGATAATTATATTCATTTATTTAGACATGGCCACGGGCCGGGGTCAAACCCGGGACTGGCCCATTGACCGGGCCTGCGGTTCGGAACCGGAACCGGCGGTTCGGAACCGGAACCGGCGGTTCGGGCCCGGTTCCAAAAAAAAAAAAAAAACTACTGCTGGAGGCTCGCTGCAGCGATTCCTCCTCTCCAGAATCTTCCCCTCCTCCTCCGCCACCGCAACCCATGGCCCACGCGCTCCCCCTGCAGACCAGCAACATCGCCAACACCGCCGCCGCACCGGCGACGGCGGCGGCGCGCAAGGGCAGGACCGTGGAGGAGACCTACCAGAAGAAGTCCCAGCTCGAGCACATCCTCCTTCGCCCCGACACCTACATCGGCTCCGTCAAGAAGCACACCCAGTCGCTGTGGGTCTACAAGGGCGATGAGGTGGTCCACCGCCCAGTCGCCTACGTCCTCGGCCTCTACAAGATCTTCGACGAGATCCTCGTCAACGCCGCCGACAACAAGCAGCGAGAGCCTGCAAAGTGCAGCCCCACATTCCAACCCCACCCACGCCCACCTCCTCCAGTCCTCCTCCAAATCCCTCCTTCCCCCCTCTCCCTTGCGCCTCCTCCGGTCCTCCCCTTTTCTCCTCCGCCCGCCCCCCGTCTTCCCAGATCTGACCCCGCCGCTGTCGCCCCTGCCCATGGCCGCGGCCGCCAACGCCGACGCCCCCTCCTTGTCCCCCCTCGCTACCCTGCACCTCCTCCCCTTTTCTCCTCCTACCCCCTCGAACCGGAACCGGCCCGGAACCGCCGGTTCATACATGGCCATGAACCGGAACCGTGGCCATGTCTACATTTATTTTCTCTCCATGATAACCCATAACAAGTTTCAATGTTCACAATTTGAGGAACTGAACGAGGCAAATCGGTAACATAATTCTGTTGATTAAGCAAAGTTTAAGCAAACTCAAATGCAAGCAAATTGGGTGAGAAAAGAGGTAGTATGACTTGCTCAATGCTATGTATTTACTATCATTGATTGTATTTGCCACACAAATGATAGACTTTATCTGTCTCTATAAAACCGGTAAGGGCCATCAAAATCACGTAACCTTGGGCATTCTTGTATGGTAAGATGACAAGATGATTTCCTGTATGGCACATCTGGCACGCTCTCGAGTGATTCACAGCTTTGGAACTTCAAACTATTTAGATTCTGTAAGTTAGAAAGATCAGTTTCGGCTAGCCTTTTAATGGAATTGCAGTAGCTGATATACAAATACTGCAATGATTTCAATTCTCCCAAACCCCGAATCTCAGTGAGCTGAGGATTTTTTACAAGCGCCAAATGCCGGATCTCCTTGAAGCATGGCATAAGGGTTAGTGTCTTGAGCAATGGACACCTCCGCATTCTCAATTCATTGAATTTCCTTAGCTTTCCAAGCACATCAAATCGAATCTCTCCTAGTCGATAGCCATTAAGAGCCAGCCTGGACAAATTGTCCAAGTTGGAAAAGAGCGACCAATCTATCGGTGACTGGACATCTCGTAAAGTCAAATATTGAAGGCTGGATGGAAGCCCAATAAGAGATCGGGGTCCAACACAAGTTATTTTGAGAAATTGTAGCTGGGAGAGGGAACTCAAATCGGTGGGAGGCAAGGTCATATCTTCAACAACTAGGGTCAAGTGCCTCAGAGCACGTAGCCTCACAAGCCACTCCATGTTAGGTTCTTGCACTAGTGTTCCGTGTATGTGAAGATCAACTAAATTGGTCAAGTATGAAAGATTAGGGATTGTGGTTAGCAACATCCCCGAAAAGTGTAACAACGTTAGACTCTTTGGAAGCTCTGGCAACTGTTGAATCCAATCGCAGCACAATAAGTGAAGTTCTTGGAGATTCGTAAGTTGATTGATGGTTGTTGGCAATCTACTAATGTGGCTACATGACAACCTTAGAATTCTTAACGAGGATAGTGCCCCCAATTCACTTGGAATTGTCCCCTCCAAGAGTTCACACTCCGAGGCATGCAACCATTCCAAATTTTTCAAGGTTCCTATTGTTTTTGGAAGTTCACTTATGTCGGTCCTATCCAAATCTAGAAACTTCAATTTTTTGAGATTTCCAATAGAATCGGGTAACCTCATAATATCGGATTCTTGCAGATCCAACTCGAGCAATGATTTCAGACTCCCAATCGTGTTTGGTACCTCTTCTAGTTTGCAACCGGCAATGTTTAAAACTTCCAACCTTTCAAGGTTTCCAATGGAATGAGGTAATTTTCTGATTTTTGAAAATGGGATATCCAACTCAAGTAGTGACTCCAATTGTCCAATAGAGCTAGGAAGTTCTCGAAGCTTCGAACATCTCAAGCTCATATGCTTCAGCTTCACTAAATTACCAATCGAATGCGGCAACACTAAAAGTCTCTTAGATTGTACTGTTAGCTTTGACAAAGATTTTAGGCTGCCGATGGATTGTGGTAGTGACTCAATGGCTTCACATTCTATTTCTAAGTAATCAAGATGATGTAGATTGCCGATGGATTCGTCAATCTTTCTTAGTCCAGTGCATTGTCGAAGAATCAATCTCTCTAGTCCCGAGATTGCGGAGAACTCGGGCGTCTTTCCAAGAGATGGACAATCCATGAGTTTTAGAACTTTCAACTGTTTTGCTACCTATAATGCAATTGAGTTGCAACTCAGAAAAGATGAAGAGAGAATGCAATGTAAAAGTATGTTGTGAGATCATACCATGATTTGATACCATCCTCCCCAATCTTCAGTAATATTAATCCCAGAAAGCTCGAGAACCGCTAAATTCTCCAATCCCAAGCTAGTAGCTTGGAATTCTGAAGGGCAGTTGCTCCAAGAGAGCCATCTTAACTCTAAGAAAATATCCTTAAAATCTCCTTCGAAGTTTCCATGGTCCAATTGAAGGAACCTAAGGTTGACCAACCTCGCAAACTCCTTGCGTTTAAATCTATATGTCGCATCGGGTTGAGGTGTGCCAAGATTGAGTGCTACTATGCTTTCAGTTCCCTAGAAGAGAAAAGTAGCAACCGGTTAGTACATGTGTCAATTTGACTTGAAGTTAGATTAAAAAAGTGATAATGCTAATGGATGGACATGAATATACCTTTTTTCTCTGCAATACATGGAAGGCATCCTTGGGAGACCACAACCTGCTACCTCTTAGATGGACTTTGCAGCTTTCTAGGTGGACGATATCCCTTCCGAGGTCTCTAAGTTGGTCGTGCATCCACAATTTGTCGTTATAAGTGATCTTTATCAAAGACATGCGTGTGAGGATCTTGACTTCGATTTCGGTGGGATACCCAAAAATCGCATCCCAATATGCGATTGCAATTGTTTTCTCTTGATTGATGAAAAAACATGCGATATCAAGATAAATTTGTTGTTGATGATATTCTAATGCTTCGTAGCTTATCATCAACTTCTTTTTGATATCCTTATTCATCACCTTCTTTAACTTCTGTAGTACATCTTCCCATGTATTTTGGCATTTTCCACGGAGTGTGGAACCCATTACATCGAGAGCCAACGGAAGTCTTCCAAGAGTATTGATTAGCTTACCTGAAATATCCATGTAATCAGGTGGAGGCTTGGCACGTCCCAAGGCACGCTCACAAAAAAGTCGAAGAGCATCATCATGATCCATCTCCAACATTTCGTAGAAAGAAACATGTCCACAATGGGATGTTGGAACATTGTCATCTTCTACTTCGGTTACCAAGAAGTCAATATTCCTTGTTGTTATGATGATTCTACTTCCCCCACCAAACCAGTTGGGCTCGCCTGCAAGTCTCATGATTTGGCTTAACTTGTCAATGTCATCAAGAACAATGAGGACTTTCTTATCATGAAACCTCGTCTTGATCATGTCGGCCCCTTCATCAATGTTTGAGAGGTTCGTGCATCTGACATTGAGAATGTTGGATAACAATTTCTTTTGCAAGTTTAGTATATCATGAGTTCGGACGTCCGAAAGAAAGCAGCAATAACCCTGAAATTGAGGAGTGATTTCCTTGAAGACGACATCGGCCAATGTCGTCTTTCCGATGCCACCCATCCCATGAATCACGATAAACCGTACATCAGAAGCTCCTTCATCTAATATCTTCATAATGTCATCCTTTCTATGCTTAATTCCCACCAAATGATCAGACACGTTGGTCCGTCTTGTCCATAATAAAGTGGAAATCTCTTCCACCGTTAGATTTACAAGTTCATGGAAGCTGCCACATACATAACATGCGATCATCTCATATTGAAAAAGCACATATTGAATCTGTGCGCATTACGTGGTGCTGGAAGGTTATCATCAAATTCAAAGTAATTTGCTTTGAAATCAACCAGCAATAAAAAATAAAAAATAAAACAGATTTATTCAAGAGGAGGAGGAGGTGGAGGAGGAGGAAGAGTAGGAGGTGGAGGGACCTTATTTACAATTGAAAGCTACCGCTATCAAGGTTATTTGGTCCGGTAAACGGTGGGACAAGGTTATTTCGTGAGAGAGGGTCTAAACGGGCTTCGATTAGAATTCCGTCGGTCTGAAAGCCTAACTTGTGCTGCGGGGAGTTGTGTTTTGACAAGTTGTTACCAAAGTTGGTAATTTTGAAATGAAAAATACATATTTGTGAGTGGCTCAAATAAGAGCGGGCAACTTAAAACTAGTTTCTGACCCCAAAAAATAAAACTTAAAACTTGTTAGTAACTTAATTCTAGATTAATTATTATGACCCTCGTATTAGGGATAGTAATTTGGTAAGTTCTACAAAAGTTGTAAATCGACAAACGACCAAAGCCTGACAACCTAATACAGTTAATATAATCGAAAAAAAATTGGTATAATCTAAACTTAGGGATGGGCATAGGGCTCGGATTTCCCGTTCCCCGGGGTGCCTTACCGTGGATGGGGTAAATTTTCTTCGTAAAAAATGCCTTGTGAAATTTGTGAGTCGCGGGCCCAATCCAACCATACGTCACATAAGATTGGAAAACAGCAAACTTAATCTAACTATTCTTGAAAAAGAGTATAGCACGAATATGGTCTTGAAAATGACAATAAATAAATAAATAAAGTTATCGGGAGAAGTTAACAATACCCGTGATCTTTTAGATTCCTCCCCCTAATTCCGGCAACCTCTCTTAAAGCCTCTTCCCATTGCTTGGCTAAATCCATCCCGGAGTCGCTCTCATGCTTTTGGAGGGCTTTCCGATATAACTCAGTCTTAAGCTTGACATCATCTGCATCCACGTCATAGAAGATAGGTAGGATCACTTTCTCTTGGTCGTGTCTTGATCTTCTCCTCGTGCACTCCACCATGTGCGCAAGCTCACGGAGGCACCACTTACTCGAAGCGTAGTCTTTGGAGAAAATTGGGATGTAAATTTTGGAGTTGTCGATTGCATGCGAGAGGCTACCTCTGATATTTTCGCCGAATAGGAGAACTTGGTCATCTTTGAAAGCATGGATCCCTGCACGGGCCATGGAATTATAGAGAGAGTCTGCGATGGTTAAGCGGGTGTCGGCCCCTCTGAAGCTCAAGAACACATCGTAGCCCCTCCCCGATCCGCCATCACGGCTACTGCCTGTCCGAGCTGTTGTCTCTTCTCCCTCCCTGTTCCTCTTCATTCCAAGAGGACGATGGAGAGATCGATCTCCGAATTGAGTATGCCCGGTGACTTGGGAAGTCTGAGTCTGATCCTTGTAAGAACTTGATAAAGCACACAGAGTGAGATCGCTCATTTCGCTGCTCTAAGTTGAGGAAATAATTGATGAAAGTCTTCGAAAAAGAAAAGGCGGAGAGAGAGAGAGAGAGAGAGAGAGAGAGAGAGAGAGAGAGATCACTTTCCACCCCACGTTCTATTTCACCTTCCAGCAATGAATGGGGTTAATTGACTTTTCAAATATTGGGTGCTTTTTTGGGCGAAATTTTGTGGGCTTTCACCATGAGTATTGATAGCACAAATTTAATTTGTTTATATCTAGAAAGGACAGGTTGTTCCTTAAAATATTTCAAACTTAATTTGGTAACCGGCCTTAACTGGTTCGGCATGTCTGTCTATACATGGTTATGCACTTTAGGAAGTGAATTAATTAGGGGTTGCAAATGAGTGGCTAACTTGAGCTCGGCTCAATTTTGCTGTTTCAAGTTGCCTGGGTATTAAAACAAGGAGATCCCCCAATCGCATGCTTAGATCCCAATCGTCCCCGCCTAAAGTAAAAGCACATGGACCCCCTCATGTGCGTCTTCCCAGTCATCTGCCAATGCCATTACTTTGTTGAAACCAATCAGACTCGGCACCAAATAGGAGGCTGAGTTGAGGAAACAATTGATGAAAGTCATCGAAGAGGAGGAGGTGGTCTCGCAAATATATTGTACTATTGCATGTTGATGAACAGCTAGATGTTGGATGTACCTTGACAGACTTAATGGAAAATCCCATTAAATAAGCTTAACCCTACATCCACATATCCTGACAGTCCGTGAACTGGCTGCTCTCCATGCATGTGATTATTTTCAGATAATAATTTTCAAATATCATAAAAAAAAATCACTTTTTAATAAAACCGACTCTGTTTTTTGAAAAATTTGGCATCCATGCATTAAATGTCACTCATTGAATTTCTGAATGCTATTATGAGATGTGAAATTTGATAATACATGCTCTCTTGAAATTGGTTGCTGTTGTGAAATCATACGCAACCTCGAAATTGATGTGAGACTGGATTCATGATAGTCTGATTGAATGATGTTCTTATTTGGATTACCATCATCTCCGATGATTTATATTTCTTGCATGCATACAGGAGGTGTATAGTTTATCATATGGCATTGGATACATGCCTGTTTGAGCTTGTCGTTTGAGATGGATTGGATTCATCCATTGGTTTGTTTTGAACACAGAAGTTTTCGAAATGACACTAATTAGTACATCTGCAATCATAGGTCTATCAGCAGGAAGATGAAATACTGGTACTAGTGCTATATGGATCAAGTTTATATGTATGTAATTTTATGTATCTTCTACAGATTTAGCGAAGGTACATCCGGAGTTTCAAATTTGGCACATGACACTTGAGCCATTGACTCTCATCGTGAGACATCTATCTGAAAAGTTAAATCTGAATAATGCATAAGCTGCAGTAACGTTCACTTCCATCTACTAAAGTTCACCAAAAAGATAAATGTGAGCAGTGCTCTCTATATAACTCCTTTATAATCCTCTATTATCTATAGGGATAATTGAAAAAAGTCCTCGCAATTTGCAAATATGATCCTCTTTGCCTCCTGCAATTAAAATCATGACTTTACATCTTAGGGATAAAATGTCATTAGGAAAAAGTCTATACTTCCGTTCGTTCAATTCAAAATAACAAAAAAAAAAAAAAACCATGATCTCTCTTAACTCTGAGTGAAATTGGATATAATTAGTGATGTTCCAAATAACAAGCGAGTTTTTAAATAGGGTTAATACCACGAAAAACCTCAAACTGGTACATCTGTGACAAATTTACCCCGAACTAATTTTTTAACCACCAAAAATCCCAAATTGATACACATGTGACAAATTTACCCCAAACTAATTTTTTAACCGAAAAAAACCCCAAACTGGTACATTTGTGACAAATTTACCCTCTGTTAAATTGGATTAATACCATGAAAAATCACAAATTGGTAAACATGTGACAAACAGAGGAGTAAAACTCCAAATTGGTATATCCGTCAATTGTCCCGTGTCATCCAACTCAGCAATTTAACGGTAAATTTATTGAAAACTAACGGAGGGTAAATTTATCACGAATGTACCGGTTTGGGGTTTTTTGTGGTCAAAAAATTAGTTTTGGATAAATTTATCATATGTATATCAGTTTGGAGTTTTTTATGGTATTAACCGTTTTAAATAAGTAGGTTCTATTTAATACTCACTAAGAATCTACGACATAAATCAATGAATCAAATATTTTGTAAATTAAGGGTAATTTATGATTGAAACATTTGAGTCCTCTTACCAATGCAACGGGAAGGAGCAGATCTTTTACTTGATCGGATCATATTCACATGTTTGTTCAAATGTCCCATCATCCATCATCATCAATTCACCGCACTACACGGATCAAGATTCGAATATCCTTAGAGCATGGGGTAGAAAGTCACCATCCAAAAGACTTTAATTTGTGAAGAAAATACGAGGAACTTTCTTTGTGTCCACCACACGGGGGGGACCACGGGGGAATTTGCCCCGTCAATGCCTCCGCTTCTTGCACGGGGCACGGCAAGGGACGGTGCAGCCATCTTGCTTGGGGCAAAGATGCATGCAGGGCCTTGTTGACATAAGCAATGAATCACACACGAGGAATAAGACTGTCATAACCGAATTGAATCCAAGGAAAAGAAGTGCTTTCAGGATCCTAAACACGAGCTGAAGTCTACCGAATCGTCGTCTTCCCGTGGATACCAAAATTTATTCTCGAGGTCCTTGTTGACGTGGTAAATCATTTTATGAGAATTCAACAGTTTTTTCTTAAAAAAAATATAATTTTCAATTTAAAGTTGCCAGAAACACGTTTTACTACTTTTAAATGATTTTTTTTTTACTATTCGCGCCAATCCTTGGGGACCGTTGCCCCTACTTAAACCAGAGTGTTGTCCCAACCTCTTTCCTCAGCAATCCTATGCTCGTTATTGCCCAAATGCCTGTTGACACGTAATAGTGCTTGTATATACAAAACAAAGTTGTTCAACAAATCTGAAATCACGTTTTGACGAGTAATCTGAATATTGAGGAATGATCCGAGCTCAACGAATTCACGTTGTGTCCTTAAGATAATTTGTCCCCTCTACCGGTACCCAAGGTTGTTAAACAATTGTCTCCCAGGATAGAACGGATCGCCTTTCCAAAAAAGCGGTACTTCTTCAAAGGAAATGTTTGAACGCAACTTCGCAGAATAATCGCACAAATGACAATGATGAAGAAAATGCAGCAGAATGCCGTGCAGAAAAAATGAAAATGTCTAGAGTGTGTCGGGAAAAAAGTCTCGTGGGAATAAAAAATGCCACGAAGAGTCACAAGACCGAACAAAACAGTTCGGTTATAGATAGTGAAAATGAAGAGTCGCTTGAACCGAAGTGGTTTTTGTTCGGTTCGTGAACAATCATAAGCAATGAAGGCTCGCTTGAACCGAAGCGGTTTTCGTTCGGGCGAACCAAACCTCACGAACAGGCATGTTTGTTTGTCCAAAATAAATAAATAAATAATTTCTAACAAAACATGTTTGTTCGGGAAAAAATAAAAACCAATGGAATGGCCAGGCGGACGGCGGTGGTGCGCGGGACCGACCTAGTTTGGCGTAGGTCCTCTCCCTTCCACAAAAGTGGGATATCCCTTGGGGCCCAAACCCATTTGAGAGGCTCATCTAAATAAACCATCTCCCATCACAACTTCTATCCAATGTGGGACTATTTCCATCCACACTTCTCATTCACAATTTATGGATTTTGGATACTAAAATCCCAACAATCCCCCACATGAATGAGAAGTTTAGATATCATGACTCTTCATGTATGCATGAGATACAATGTGCGATTATTCCATGAGAGAATGTTGCATTGGGATAAGTAGTCTGAGGCTTTGAACTTTCCCTAGTGAGACCTATCGGACTTTCTCGGTCAATTAGTAGACTTGATATCTTTGAACTGGCGACCTTTGGTGTAAGTCAAGACAATAGAAATCACACAATTCTCTCTCAAACAAAGTTGGTTCTCACTATTGTGTTCATTCTGGCCATGAACACCACCTGGTTTCATGAGTGCTTTGAAGAATTTGGCCTTTCAAATTCTTCATAGAAGCGGCCCTCACTTCACACTCACATAGGTGATTTCTGATTGTGTGGTATATCACATACCAGAATCAAAATTATTAAAAGCTTACACTTAACCTCCACATGTTATTACTGTCTCCATACGGGAATGAGTAAGAGTTGACAGTACACTACTTCGCCTGTATAACTTGGTTGTCCCTTTGAACCTAGATCTTGGGATCTCTAGTCAACTAGGTAGGGTTTCCGCTATGATGACTTATTTTATAGACCTTAAACCCATTCCCCTTGATGTTTTTACAATCAATTCTCTAGTTAGGCCTTTTGTTAATGGATCTGCAACATTATCTTTTGACTTCACATAGTCAATCATGATAATTCCACTAGAGAGTAGTTGTCTTACAGTATCGTGTCTTCGACGTATATGTTGGGACTTTCCGTTATACATGACATTCCTTGCCCTGCCTATTACCGCTTGACTATCACAATGAATACACACAGCTAACATTAGTTTAGACCAATTAGGAATGTCTTCTAAGAAATTTTGAAGCCACTCAGCTTCTTCACTGGCCTTATCCAAAGCAATAAATTCTGCTTCCATAGTAGACCTTGCAATACAAGTTTGTTTGGATGACTTCCAAGACACTGCTCCCCCACCAAGTATAAACACATACCCACTTGTGGATTTTGTGTCTCTTGTGCCGGTTATCCAATTTGCATTACAGTATCCTTCAAGTACCGCTGGATACTCTGTATAGTGCAAAGCATAATTTTGAGTGTGCTTCAAATAGCCCAATAGCTTTCCAATGATTTTCATTTGGACTAATCGTAAATCAACTTAGCTTGCTCACAACACAAGCTATGTCTGGCCTAGTACAGTTCATGACATACATTAGACTGCCTAGTATACTAGCATACTCATTTTGAACTTTGCTTTCATCAGTATTCTTTGAAAGATGTAAATTAACATATATCTGAGTCTTTACTGGTACAATGTCTA